TTTGAAGAGAGGGGTAAAAAGGCACCAAGAAGATGATTCCTTGTCACCTGCTAATAAGGTATTGTGCAGTTTGTTCTGTGATACGGTTCATTCTGTTCATAAGGCATTAGTAACAGTGCTTGCAGTGCAGTGAGTTCCAAATACCTGCAGTTATCAACTTAATTTTTTCATTTGTAAATGAAGGTACGCTGAAGATAAGGGCCTGTAGATATTTTTGTAATGCACAGACATCAGCAGGCTTGTATTACTAGGAGCTTGGGAGGTCTGTTTTCAGAACAGCCCCAATGGCTGCTCTGCTTGCAGGAGTTGCAGTGGAACAAATGCCACTGCGAAATCAGCATCTTACCAATGCATTTTTGGGAAACACAAAATGTTTCCTTCAGCAGAAGCCATTGTAATTGTGGCTTCAGTCCTTGGGTGAACGGTGTTCAGGAATTTCAGTGGCTATCCATTTCAAAAGGAGTGATTTTGTCTCTTTGGACTCCCTTCAGCAGACTGTAGTGGTTCATGCTATCAAAACTACTTCTCTCTGACAACAGATTCGTCGGGTCTCTTTTGCAAATCCTATTTATCAAGAAGGACTGGCTGATGACATAGACAGGAGAAGTCCTGTCATTAGATCCCATTCTTCACCGTCTTCACGAAGTCTTAAAATCTTATCTAATATTCAGACTAAGGTAACTTCAGATTTTTTTTTGCATTAGTCTTCAGTTTCTCAGAGTGACGTAGCCAGCTGTAATGTATGCCTGTAGTTCCTTGCAAACAGTTGTAAGAGCAAAGAGTAGAACATGGGTAAGTTTAAGAACTAGCTGTAACTGGTTTGTTCTGTGGCTCATTCTGTTGCTCTGCAGGCCTACATGCTCTAAGCTAGGTAGCTAGAAAGTGAAAATTGATTGAGTTCTTACAATCCTGAGAGATTTTTTTCCTCTTTTTCTATCCAGCCTATTACCACTCCAACCAAAGGATTTCTGTCCCCAGGATCTCGTAACCCTAAATTTATGAGCTCAAAGAAGTGTTTAGTAAGAAGTGCTTTGGTTCACGTTTCTTACTCTTTCTTGTATTCAGTTGTGTGACAGTTAATCTAATAATTTTTCTGTGTTATTTCAGATGGCAGAAATGGTGCAGGAGTCACTGCCTTCCCCTACAGAATGTGTGTATCCTGCCTTAACTGGATGTAAGGCACCCGTTGATGTAATTTTACCTCAGATCACATCAAATATATGGTAAGTGCCTTGCTGCTTTGGAAAACATGATTTAATGGAAACTGAGTTCTTACTGGATCTTAACAGCAACAAAAAAATGAGAAACTATGGAGGTCTTTTGCAAAACTGTATCCCCTGCTTCTCCTCCCAGCAACCTTGGAATGACTCGAGTGGTCTTTAGGTAAAGCTGTGAAAAGTTTGCACCAAACTTACCTGCAAGGCAGAGCAGATAGATCTTAATGATCTGTTACAAAGTGATCAGAGCTTCCACTGTATCAAAGGGGATGGCTGAAGGTGCTGCCATCCCAGTACTGCTTGAGGGCACTGCAGGACTGCAGGCACAGTGGGATTCCTGGTTAAGATCTGCATTACAACCATAGAAACACCAGGAGCTCTGCTGGTGTGTCTTCAGATTTGAATCCAGGTGACAAAGAGTTGTATTGGAAAGTGCTCTGAATGGCCTTTTCCTGCTGTATTCTGCTTCTTTCCACTGATGTGTGCCTTCAGAATACCACTCTCTGATGGGTTTTGGATACATTGCAAGAAGGTGTGTTTCTGCAAACAAAAATGTCATTTGCATTTTGTTTTCCTTTATTTATGTGGATGTAAATTGACGTTCATGTAAGAGCACTTCCTGCTGAAGGAGGATGGAGGTGGATCTAATTAATTAACCAGCTTTTCTTTGCTGCAGTGCCAGAGGTCTGGGGCAGCTCATTCGAGCCAAGAACATAAAGACAGTGGGAGATCTCAGTACTCTGACAGCATCAGAAATCAAAACTCTTCCCATCCGTTCTCCTAAAGTTTCCAACGTTAAAAAAGCTCTTAGAGGATATCATGAACAACAGGTAAAGCTTAATTAATCCTGGTTCCCAAGAAGCCAAAAGTAACTTAATGAACTACTAACAAACATTCATAATGAGTAATGTACTTTTCTTACTAGTGAAAGCACTTCAGGCTGTGATATCTGCCCAAGGTGGGCATTTGGGGCGCAGTGTTTGGGCACTCACAGTGGGAATGACTGTATTTGTTAAAGCACATCCTGCTGTGTAGTTCTGAACATCTTTGTTCTCTCTGAAAAATTCTCAGGTAAAATCTCGAGGGTGTGAAGAAATTGGAGCGCTTGAAGATGTGGAGAGAACAGTAAACAGTGCAGGGGATAAATCTCCTCCTGGGGATGAGGAAAAACTTGCAACAGGTAACTTGCCTGCATGTTACTTAGGGTCTGACTGTCACTGCTTTCATTCTCTGCTAATGGAACATTTGATTTCTTTGGGAAGCTGCTAGCTAGTCTGAAGGGATGAGTTGAGTTAATCACATCCTGAAGCCCTCCAGTAATGGCATTTTGGAACTTTTTAAAACCATTGAGGGCAAGATGTGCTTTGTTTTTTCCCTAGAACTCTGTGTTCAGCAGGGCTCTGAGTGCTTTGCACATCTCAGCCCATGCTCCTCCTGAGCTGTTTTATGCTGCAGGTCCTGCTGCAGTCCTGGGTGTGCTCAGGAACAAAGGGGACTGTGAGGCTGAGGAGATGCCTGCAGGTGTTTTGGCTGTTTCCCAGGATACCCAGTTTGGATTTTGAGGCCTGGCGTTTTTTTTGTTTTGTTTACAGGGATTCTGGGGTTTGGCCTTACAGTTTTAGCAGAGGAATCTGTTTTTCCTGTAAGACATTTGAGGCATTTGGTTGACCAGAGGACAGAGAATTCAGGAGTGACTCCAGTCAGTGGTTTAAAGTGGACTTTCTTGGGATAACAAAGAGCATTGGCAGTGTGTGAATAACACTATTTTGACGTCTCTACTTATTTTTATTACCTAACCCTCATCAAATACAATGCAAATCCCTATAAAGAAGAGGCAGTGTTTAGTCCTTAGGGGTGCCCTTGCCAGAAGCTCTGTCTCCCTGATGCTTTGTAGACTGTTTGAATGTATTATTTAATACAGAACAACCTGCAGCATCCCACTGTGGCACAGTAATGCTGCAGTTGAAACCCCACGCCCTGACTGCTCACCCTGCCTTCCTTTGCAGATCTGGGTGAGCCCATTGCCCTGAGCAGCAGCAGCCCACCCCCTGCAGATCTCCTGAGCCAGCTGGAAGTGCTGGCTGCCCAGTTCACCTCCTCAGATCTCCGCAGCTACCCCGGCAGCCGCCTGTTTGAGATGCAGGAGAAGCTTGCCAGCATGACAGACTGCATCATGAGAACCCTGCGGTCCCGATGGACGTCGCCACCCCACGACAGTGCAGAGTAGTTGCTTAGAATTCCTGAGTAAGGAGGATTTTGTTACAAGTTGTTCCACAAAGCGTAGTTTTCTTACTGGTGAGTTAATCCTTGAGCTGTACCTTTTGTACTATAGAAGATTTTTTAACACCCATTTGATCAAAATGTATCATGCGTTACTTCTCCCGTTTGTTTTTTTTTTTTTAACTTGTAGGATAGTTTATTAGAGAGATTTCTATTACATTGCTATGCATATCTCTTTCAGGTAGTGAAAGAAAACTTGATCAAGTTGTGCAATAGCAAAGACTGTGAAACCAAACTAACAGAGTAGTTAAATTATTTTTTTCAAATCCAAAAAGTGTTCTTACTGCTGTAAACTCCATCTGTATGGTGAGAGATGGCTCTCACAGCTCTGCTCTCGTGCTGCCCATGTCTGCTTCCTTCAGAGCTGCTGAAACCCTTCAGCACTTCTGTACTGAGGTCAGCTGTGCTCAGTTCCCTGCTGACAGCAGGATGGAGTGTGTTGTTATCAGATCACACTGCAGCTGATGACAAAAGCAACACTGTAAGCAAGAGACTTTGCAGAACCTGTTGGCCTTTTCCTGTGTTCTAACAGCTTTGTTTGCAGCAGCTCTCCTGTGGTGGAGAAGACCCTTTTCCCTTTGTGGAAATAAATGAATTTGACGTGGGTTCTTTGTATATTATGTATAGGCTTGTGATTGCAAATGTTGGTTAATAATTTATGGTTTTTAATTGCACGGAATGCACTGCTGCTTCTCAGAGACCTTCAGAGTTCTCCGTTTTTACCCCTGAAGTCTAATTTGTATATATTGGACATTTATGGAAAGGAATGGCTCCAGGTGTCAGAACTTCAACATGTGCAAATAAAAGAGCAATTAGTTTCCAAAGTTGTTAATGTTAATCTTTAAGCTTAAAATGAAACAAATTGCTTCCAAATTGTTCATCCCTTCCTCAGGGTTGCTTTGGAATCTCAAGGTTAGGAGGAAGCTTGGAAGGCCATCATCAGGCAGGGGTGAGTGGGGCAGCAAAGACTGGGGGGGTATCTGAGCAGCAGGATCCCATCTGTACCCTGTTTGTGCAGCTCAGAAAGTAATGAGCAAGACAGAGAGTCTTAAAGGACTAACGTGATCATTACCAGTGGTGAGTGGCTGGAGGTTTTCTTGTTTCCCTGATAACACTGCTTCCAAATATACTTCCTCAGGTTTAATCATCTCTTGGCTCCAGGAACAGGAATGTTTCTCTTGCAAGCTGGCTGTGTATACTGCAGTATGTATGCTGTGAATTCTCTTTAAACAGAGGTCTCAGGGTTAAAGTTGCAAATCTTCCTGCTATGAGCTCACTTTGCTTTATCCAAGATAGAATTGTTTTCCTGCTTCCATCTTTGGAGGCTGGCTGGTAGCAGCTGCTACCAAACAAATGACCACAGTGCAAAACAAATAATTGTTTGTCCAGCTTTTTCACCTTGCTGGGACTGCTGCATCCTGGATCTGCTCTCTTTCTGAATGAAGCAGGATTGTTTTAAGATAAATCTGCACTCTTCAGAGTGAAGTAAAGCATCAAACATGCTGCGGAAACATGAGCTTTATTTAGTCACTAATTTACAAGTAACAACTTTTGACCCCAGAACAGAAAAACACCTGCATAAGAGCTCAGCAAGCAGACAGAAGAGGCTTTTGCATTGTGAGATTTCCCCCTTTTTTTTTTTACCACCTCCCCTCCAGATAAACTTTGGTTTGAGATCCTAAGCTTACATGGGAAACAAACATGTTTGAAAGTTTCAGAACAGCCCACAAAGATTCTCTCCTCGTGGGAGAATGAATAAAGTAATGGTTGGTAAGCATGGTCTCCAGCACAGGTACAAAAGCTCAGTGATACGGAACTGTGTTGTGATTTTGGCATTGCTTAAAACATGTTGATAGTATTGTATGCTTAAATGTTTAACAGGAAGATGCAGGCAATTTCAGAAAGGTTTTGGACACCGGAAGCAAGGCAGCTCTCATGAGCAGCACCAGGTGGTGTTTGCAGGTAGTTTTCAGAAACAATTTGAAGGGAAGAAGTTTCAAGAGTGTTTTGTTATATATATTTTTTTTCTCTCCCCATGCTGGTTTGTAAAGCACTGCCCCTCACCATGGAAGACAATGCAGTGCTTTGGTTGTAGAAAGTTCTGTTGCTGACAGTGGGAAATGGCTGTGCCTGGGGAGGGCTGTTCTCTGGCTCACACAGCCTCCACGTAGTTGGCTGGCAGCATGCCTGTCTTGCCAGTTCTCTGCACGGTCCCATACATCCAGCCTTCATCAATGGCTTGCACGTTGACAATTGTGTCACCATCTTTGAAGGAAACCTCGTCGGCGTCGGCTGCTGTGTAGTCATACATGGCCCGGTACGTCTTCTGTGAATTGGAATAAAGAGGGGGAAATTAAGAGCTGTTCATAGCACTGCTGTTAGGTTTTGCTCAGAGTCGAACTACGTGGAGGGTGGGTGAAGCTGTGACTGATGGCATTACTGAAAAGTACCACCAGTGGTGGAGTTCTGGCTGGGCTCTTAAATATCCTGGTTTCAGATCACAGAATATTGAAAATACAGATTTTGAATGTCCAGTCTTTGTAAGGTATTTTCTGTTTGCATTCCTTTGAGGCAGTTGCAGCCTCCTTGGTCCTGCGAGGGGCAGCCAGCCCCCCACCTTGTGCCTTTGTGCTCTAGTGCTTTAGCTAGATAAGACCTTGTCAGAGTGTATTTGAGTACCACTGTTTAAACAGTTTGTCAGCTCAGGTTAGCTCCAACCACAGCTGCAGGGTCTGACTTCTCTGGGAGAGAGAAAATGTAAGATTAAGCTTTCAAGGGTCTACTGTTAAACAACAGAGCTGCTGCACCTTCAGCTGGTTTTGCAGCAAACCTCAGCCTGTGGATTCTTCTAGTCTCTCCTGCATGAACAGCAGCCCTGCTCACTCAAACTGCTATGAGCTGGGGAGGGGCAGTGCAGTGGCCCAGAGCTACTTACCCCAGCAGTGGATGGGTGGGAAGGAACTGATGACACGGTGGTTTGCTGAGTGACAACAGATGCTGATCTTTGTTGTGGCAGCTCTATGGTCTTAGCATGTTTATAACCCACTAGGAAAGGAGAAAACAAAGGGTTAGTTTACAGTTTAATGCTTTTAGTTGTTATGGAACTGGCAGGGGAGCGCAGTTGCTCTAAGGATCCTGGGATAGATTGGGAGGTGATCAGACCTGCCCTTTATCCACAGCACTGCAACAGCAGTTGGTCAGGGCCAAAGCTCAGCACTCTTGTGCTCCAGCTGTGAGTCCTGTCCCAGCAGAGGGGCTGGGCACTGCCTGGCCCCAGCTGTGAGGAGCTGCAGCTTTGCTCCCATACCTGTGGTGGTGGTGGTAAAGAAGCCTTCGTTGCTGTAGTAGGACAGGTGCTGATTCACCCCCTCCGAGGGCTCTGATTTCTCATCCCCTCCACTGATGCTCAGGGCACTGGCAGAGCGGGAGTGTTCCCTGCTGCGGCGCTGCGCTTGGACTGCCAGGAGAAAACCAGGTGGTTATGGTGTGAGGTATAAAGCAGGGAGCTGCCAGCCAGCGTGGGGGTGGGCAGAAGTGGTTGCTGGCCCTTGCTAAGCATAAAAAAGAAGCACAGTTCTTATGTTCCTCGTTTATTTCTAATATCCAGATTTGTTCTTGTGCTTGCTATATCCAAAATTTGTACTCAAATTACTGCTTGCCTCCCTTTGTCAGCTGCCAAAGTGCAATGGCCCCACGCTGTTCTGCCACTCATGCCCACTTTTCTCAAGCACTGAGCAGGGAAGAGAACTGAGGTACAGCACTTCAGGAGCTAAAAAGGAGGCAAGTGTTTCAGGCAAGCAGCTGTGCTGTCTGTGGAGCTATGAATCCCATACAGCCCTGTGCCAGAGGAGCACTTGCACAGTTAGTAACATGAACTTTGTGAGAACCAGCTCTATGGAGCAGTTTCTCCTCTCCTTTGTTCTCACTACCATTAATTCCCACTAGAACTGTGCCTACATATAACTGTGCAAATCACTGCTAACGTAGTGTCTGAAATAAGCATGTTTGCCTTTACTTGCATTCCCGCACAGAGAAAGACCTTAGAACTGTACTTCAGTGTCCCCAAGCAGTTAAGTTTTCCTGCTGGATTTGCATGAGGGGAGCCAACCTGAGATCATGTGTAAGCTCCTGGACTGAATGTTGTCCTCTGCAGGGTCATAGTCAAAGACAGAGCCAGGATTTGTGCGCCACACACGAAGACCTGCAAGAGAAATGACTGAGGAGCTGGAGCCCAGGCATGGCCTGAACAGCTAGAGCAGCACAGAGTGGTCCAAAATGGGAGCAGAAATATACAGGGGAAAGGAAAGCAGAAGCTGGTAATTTATGCTCATCAAAGCTGTAGTGCAGAGGTGTTGGTGGTGAAAACACTTTGAGGTGAGCTTCTTAAAAATACAAACAAGAAATGGCAATCAAATCTGGCATCTACTGTACAAAAGCCATATGGATGGGAAAGACAGAGGGGGCTTTGACAAGGCCACCAGCTTCAATTAATGGTAAATATAAACCGATGATTCCTTGAGCTTAAATAAAACAACTCTTCAAGGTCATCTTGTGTTCTGTGTAAGTGAAGTAGTGCAGTTTCTGCTTACCTGTCAGATTATTCTCCTGGTCCTGGTCCACGCGCTTTTGCTCCATTTCTACCACTCGTCTCTGAATGCCTCTGTAGCTGATGTCACTGAAGTCCTGCATGTTCTTCTTCACACGTTCTGTAATGGGGTCAGTGACTACAGGTGTGAAAGTACCTTTGTTCTTCTCAAAGTCTTCATGGTATTTCACCTGTCATGGGAAAAAAAAAAAATGTCAGTTCTGTTTGTTTCCTGCCACTATCAATTGAATTCCTTGCAGAGGGCCAATGCCCTCCTGAAGAGCTGCTGTCACCAAGGTCAAACTGGTCTGTTACTGATAAATATGTATTGTTCCCAAAAAGGCAACCCTGCTGCATCTCAGGAGCAAAGTCTTTAAGTAACAGATGTACAGAGAAGTGCTCTTACTGTAGAGATGTGTTTCTGTGTCTCCCGCACACGCCGCATTTCAGGGGTGTCCAGAACATAAGCAGCTTTGCCTTGCACCTGTTTTCGGAAGCTGTCGGAGTAAAGGACCTGCAGCCAGAAAAAGGAAGAGAGTACGAGGTAAAAGGTGGGGAGAATACAAGAGGGAGGGAAAAAAAGAAAGAAAGGAATGAGAAGAGAGGGAGAGGAAGGAAAGGGAGAGGGGAAGAGAGGAAGGAAAGTGGGGGGAGGGAGGGAGGGAAGGGAAGAAGAGAGGGGGGGAAGGGAGGGAGGGAAGGAAGGGAAGAAGAGAGGGAGGAAAGGTGGGGGGGAGGGAAGGAAGGAAGGGGAGAGGGAGGAAAGGAAGGAAAGGAAGGGAAGAAGAGAGGGAGGGAAGGGAGGAAGGAAGGGAGGAAGGGAGGAAGGGAGGAAGGAAGGAAGGAAGGAAGGAAGGAAGGAAGGAAGGAGGGAAGGAAGGGAAGGAAGGGAAGGAGAGAGGGAGGAAAGGCTAAACACTGCCACTCCTGTAATCATAAAGGAATGCCCAAAGTGGAGGAGTGCTGTTTGTAACATCCTGAAGCACTTACCGAGCTGATGTTTTCCTGGTTGCGCTTGGCTCTCTCCATCTCAGGGGTCATCGGGGTTGGGGTGCCTTTTGCCAGCTGTTCTTTGTACAACACCTACAGAGTACACAACGTGCGTACAAGTCAGAGCAGCTCACCCAGCAGCTCATTCTGCTGGTGCTGTTATTGGGTAAGCATACTCAGCACTGCAGGGACAGAAAACATCTTGGGAAATAAATAAAGCTGCTAACAAGTTATTTGCTTGAGCGAAAGCGAGAAAAGGGGAAAATAAATAGGCAAAAACATGGAACAGAGAGAGAGAACGGGGCTGAATTAGAGGTGGATTTCCTTCACAAGGGTTATTTTTAATCTTAGGCAGGTATCTTCCTCTTTCAGTACCGAGCTGATTTGTTCCTGGGTGCGTCTGACTCGCTCCATCTCGGGAGTGACCGGCGTGGGGGTCGCCTTCCCTAAGCCTTCCTTGTACACAACCTACAGACCACAAAGCAACGTCACAAGTGTACAGATCACAACTGGCGTGGCTGGTTTTAGAATGAACACCATTCGTTACGGAAGGGAAAAAATTAAGTGAGGAAAAAATATTAAAAAGTTAAGTGATGAAAAATAGATTTACTGTAATTTGACACGATAAGTTTCTACATCCGAGGGGAAAAATTAGAGGGTTAAATGAAAACCAGGCAACTTGAGTCATTCAAAAAGAGAACATCTCTATCTTAGCCCCTTCACATCTCGTGGACAATACCGAGCTAATCTGTTCTTGATTGCATTTCACTCTCTCCATCTCAGGAGTGAGAGGGGTGGGGGTTGCTCGCCCCAAGTTCTCTTTGTACAACACCTGTGGGATACAGAACACGCATCCGGCATCTCACAAAAAAGCAAGAACATTCAAAAGGATTCGAACACGGGGAATTATGTAGTTATCAGAGTTCAAATCAGTAGTGGCAGATTACAGATCACCGCAAAAAGCCAAACATCCAGAGCTAGTGGGAGGGGTAAGGAAAATAAACTGAAAAAGAGAAGCTTGTTACTACTGTTTGTTTGGGTTAAACTGAAGGGCTCTATCCAGCTACAGCTGCGACCTTGGCTCCACAGGCTCAAGGAAGCCACCAGGGACCCCAAGAACTAAGGACTGTTCTATCAACCCTGCTGGTCAAGATCCAGGCCAAGGAGAGGATCCCCTCTGTGCCCAAACCCTGACTGCTGGTGTCCTACCTAAAAACATCCCTGTGCAACCAGGTGGGATTCTGGTTAAGGTCGCCTCAAGCAATGCAACTCAGGTGGGGTTTTCCCAGTGTTTGGGTTGGGGTTTTCTCCCACTGAATTCAAATACCCCTGCAAGGACAACAACAGCTTACAGACGCAGCACAGAGAGATGGAGCTGGGGGTCACTTCTCCCAGGGACAGCAGTGTGCTGGTGTTGGCTGGATAGAGCCCAGGTGAGACAAACTGAGCTGCAGAGAGCTCCTAAGTTCTCGGATCAGAATGTTAACACTAAAGCCAAGTTTATTATAGAAAGGGGAAGATTAACTGGCAGAAACAAATCTATTTTTTACATTAAAATCAGTGTTCAGTACGTAGTTAGGATGTTACTTGATTAAGATTACTATAGAGACAAAGGGGAAAAAATATCTATTTGTAAGGTACCGAGCTAATGATTTCTTGATTGCGTTTGACTCTCTCCATCTCTGGAGTGATTGGTGTTGGGGTCACTTTCCCCACATTTTCTTTGTACAAAACCTATAGGATACAAGGGAGTATCCAAACATCATTAAGAACATACTTCCAGCAGCACAGAAACCACAAACAACCACGTACAATAACAGCTTCTGGTTATTATGCTTCTAAGGGGTTAGATGTAGGGCCACTGCGATTCCTGAAAGAAGCAACGGGAGCTTTGCCATTAATCCATTATCAACTGTGTGTAAAAGCAAGATCGTGACAAGAAACAGTTAAAGAAATTGCAAAGAAACAATGGCCTTAAAAAATAATAAATCAGAGGGCAAACCATTCTAGTTAAATCCTGCTTCAGATACTGTTAAACAGGGGAGGAGAAATCACAACTCGTTTGCAAGCACAAGCTGGGGGTGCTCATGCTACCTGACAGGGGTGTTTCTTTTTCTTTTTTTAAGAGTTAGGAAGCAGAGATAAGTAAAACTGCTACTGTGTGTTACAGACATCAGGTCTTTAGGAATTGGTTTCCTGTCGAGTACCGAGCTAATGATCTCTTGATTGCGTTTGACTCTCTCCATCTCAGGAGTCACAGGGGTTGGGGTGGCTTTCCCTATGTTCTCCTTATATAACACCTATGAGACATAAGAAAGGAGCCAACAGTAAACAAACAGCTCTCTGTAGACAAACACAAAGGCATCTTTTCCTTGTACTTATTATCACAGGGCCAAGGTATTATAAATTTCAAGGTACACAGCAATCTTTTAGTAGAGAAGTAGGGCCTGGCATACAGTGATGACTCAATAGACAAGTAAGTACTGCAAATGAGACTACAAAACACTGTGCTGACGATGTTATGGAGATTGAAATTATTATAAAGTGCATCAGCACTGCAGAGAAAATAAAGGAACTGTTTGTTATAAGATTTTAGGATTAGGGGCGTTAAAATAAGCCTTAAAACCAATCCAACTGCACCACGTTAACACAGTCAATGTAAACCACAGTAAGCCACGGTAAGAAGTGATGGCTTATTAGAATGGCTTTAGAGCCAGGGTCAGCATCATTTTCCAGTGTCACAACGTCCACTCATTAAAACGGTTAAGTTGTTTGTTTCAGTCGAGTTACAGGAGATGTTTTGTCTTGGCAAAGTACCGAGCTACAGATCTCTTGGTTGCGTTTGACCCTCTCCATCTCTGGAGTGATGGGGGTGGGGGTCCCCATCCCCACGCTCTCTTTGTACAACACCTGCACAGCAACAAGAAGCATCCAAAGAAATCAGAGTGCAGAAATCATCACATCCCACACAAAGCCAAATATCTGAGTCCTGTGGATAGCATCATCTGCTCTCTTGTGCTACAAGCTGCCCTGAAGGCTTGGATTATAGGGTCTGATGGCAAACGTGTCCATGCCTTTATCTTACAGGTACAACAAACCCAATCCAGAAGCTGTCACCGTAACACAGAGCAAATGCACCTCCATGGTGGAGGGGAGGTTCTAGACAGCCTTCAGAGCCTGCTGGAATCCTCCTGATTCCATAACAAGAGCACTACAGTGGGAAAGCAATTACAAAAAACAAACCCCCAAGAACACAACACACACAAGTATATATTAAAAGGAAGCTGAAACAGGGAGCAAAATGGTTAAGGGTATTTAGAGTCATGTAAATAATTACACAGGTGAAGAAGTGGAACGTAAGTAGCACTGCAAAATACAGTGAAAGAGAAAGGAGGATTTTTTAACTTGATTAAACTGATTACGTGGAAGGAAGGAGAGGAGCCATTCCGTTTTTAATAAAGATTAACCAGCTCAGTTCATGGGGAGTTAAGGAACACATCTCTCCCCCCACAAAGTACCGAGCTGATGTGCTCTTGATTGCGTTTCACTCTCTCAACTTCAGGAGTGACAGGTATTGGGGTCCCTGTCCCCATCTCCTCTTTGTACAACACCTGTGGGTAACACAGCTACGTTAAAACACCAAAAGGAATGGGCAAACAACAGCAGCACGCAGCTTAATGGGAAAGAGACCAAGCGTTATTCAAAGCTGCCCTGAGCCAAAGCCTGGATGAAAAATTAAAACCTTCCTCGTAACGATGACATACTTTGCAAAGAGTTTGCTTCTCTGCACCTATAAGAAAACCTCTCTGCAATAGCAGATGAAGACTTCCTAAAGGCAGAAGGCCACAAAGACAACCAAAAAAGGAACAAAGGAGTATGTTTCATTTACCCATTCCAAAAGCAGAGCACACACAGCAGGTTAAACCAGCCCCTATCAGAGCACCATGACACACAGCTCATCCCCAGTGGCTGGGATCACACCATGAATAGTTCAGTTTTTAAAAGGGAAAGGAGATAAAATCAGGAGAAAACCCACACGAGATTACACTGAGGTGATTAACGAAAGGAAATAGTTGATATAATTTAAGAACAAAAATTGTTTAAAGGAGATCAGAGTCAAGAGAAAGGTGGGATCCAGAAGTTGTTATTATCATTATGACTGTGAGATCAAAACAGAGGAACAAGAATGATGTAAGTAATGATTACACAGGGAAAAAATCTCAAAGGGAAAAGGAAATTTCTTTTTAGATTGATTATAAGGGAAAAAGAAACTTTGGGTGTTAAAATTATTTAGAAATCAGACAGGAGGTTTCTGCTTCTCAGACTACAGATACCGAGCTAACGTGTTCTTGGTTGCGTTTGGCTCTCTCAAT